CCCATATCAGCACAACTCTGAAGTATTGTGACAATAGTAGCTTGGTCAGGATAAATCCCAGCTCTCCGCATTAAATTAAAATACAAAATACTCTTCTCCGAAAGGCCACTTTGAATGTGAATCTTAATGATCGAGTTCCATGACACTAAATTTGGCAACTTTATMGTCTCAAACAACCCAGAAGCCTCATTCAAATACCCAAATTTCCCATACATGTTAATAAGAGAATTCAAAACTTTTGTTTGTGATATTAAACCATTTTTTACAGCAAAGCCATGAATATAACCTCCCTCCAGAGTTCCACAAGCTGAAATTAACGATATAAGKGTTATCTCATTGGGGTTCATCCCATCCTCTTGTCTCAACCTATAAAATGCATTCAAGCTCAAACCCACATCCCCCTTTTGAGAAAATGAGGAAATAATGGAATTCCAGGATACCAAATCCTTGTGAGGAATTTCATCAAACAGGTTATGTGCATCCTTAATGCATCCCAATCTCGTATACAGGGAAACCAATCTGTCACCAATGAACCCATGATTGTAATTTAAGCACTTAACGACTGTTGAATGGATCAACTGACAAATGGATATCGAAGAACATAAGCTTATAGACCTTATTACGGACTCAACAAGTGAACCTGAGCTACGCTGAGCTTGAGAAGTACAATGATTACAGAAAGCATTATACAATCCTTGTGGGTCACATGGATTATAAAGAAATATAGTTTGAGATTTTATCATGTACCTCAAAGCTTCGAATTTGAAGTGTGAAGAGGAGATCGACTTGAACAAGTGACAGCAAGTACAGTAAGTCCAAGACAGCATCTCCCATTTTTCGGAACATGAAGTGTCTCCTTTTTAAACTCAATTTGTTTCAAAATCAACATTATTTAGGGTTTTTTTCTTTTCTTTATGGCCAAACCAAAAGATAGAATGATATATATAGATATATATATATAACCAAAAGATATACGTGAGACCAGCCTGTTTTCGTGAGACGTGAGACCACATTTTTACACTTGAAACTTCACAGAAAAACACTGTGAAGGTTAAAAGAAGTCGAACATTCACATCAAAAACACTGAAGGTTAAAAAAAGTCACCTTCACAGCATTTTGCTATGAAGTTTCAAGTATTAAAAGGTGATCTCACGGGTCTCACAAAAATAGGTTGGTCTCACATGATCCCAAGTATATATATATATATATATATATATAGAGAGAGAGAGAGAGAGAGAGAGAGAGAGATGCATAATAATTCACCTCTATATAGTATATATACAAAGGTTCATTGCGGCTCATTAAAGAAAAAACTGATTAGTTTATGATAACTGTAAGATCCAATGTGAATCACTCGTTTAAAATATGTAAGAATAATTTTTAAATAAGCTAAAAGAGTAATATCGTAATTCTATTTTTGACAACTAATCAAAATATTTAGCTAAATTTTTTAGAAGGAAATATTTAATAAAATTAGTTACCTAGTATATCAATTACCTAATATACACCGTATTTTAAATATGTTTGTGAATCAAAGTGTATCATATTGATAACGTTCACAATATTTTACGTGTATCACAATGCATTTTCTTTGTTTTATAAAATATATTATAGTGTGCATTTTCGTTATTTTCATTTTTTTACAAAGGGTATCACATTGTGCATCTTGTATGTATATATGGGTATCACAGGGAATATCGTTTGTAGGTATCACAGTGTGTATCTTGTGTTCACATAAGGTTCATCGGAATAAGGTTTGCCAAATAAGATTCGTCGAAGAGAGGAAAGAGAATAGATGAGTGGAGATATTTATAAAATCTCTAAAATGTTCTTACATTACGTGAATGTATGAGACACGTGACACACTCTTCTTTACTCTTGATTTTAAATGGAACTTGAGATTGCAATTGAACTTGTCTCTGTATATACACAAATAATCAAATTAGCGTGACATGCTGATTTAAAACAAAAAACCGAAACAAGTAAATGTGAATATCACTGAATTTACTACATGATATATAAAGAAACAATCAGACTGTGTTTTCACCGTTCTGAATTAAGGCGTTAGTTTAGATATTTTTAATCACGTGTAAAATTACATGTGATTCATGCAACTTCGGCCGGCGACCTCAGGTTGTGGGCCAAGTCGTCCGCATGTCCTTGAGTTGACTGTTAGTGTAAAATCATATGTAATTTTGCACGTGATTTGATCGTTTTCGTATTCTATTATTTAATTAATATTTTCGATTTCTCTCCTTATGATGCTATACTGTAAAAGTGTCATTTAAGTTGTTTTATCATCTCGACAAGATCTAAATCTTATCAATATTATTTTATTTTTAGAAAACTAGAAGGATACTCACATAATGTAGCGAGATATACCTCGATTTTAATGTATCGTTTTTTTGTCTTAGTCGATGTTATAATACAGTTTTATGTGGTTTTGAAAAAGCGATAATATATTTTTTGAATAAAATATAAATATGAATATATATCATAAAAAATTGAAAAAAAGTTATTGATATTAGTACCAAACTATCTATTTAAAATTTCTCCCTTTTTTTTTATTTCTTTAATTATTTTTTTTATTTTTGGTTTAGAAATGTAATATTTTTTAATAAAGATAATAATTAAGTATTTTGTTAAAGCTCCATAATTATCTTAATTATATTTTAGATATTTTATATTTAAAATATCATCTATTTGATTATGTTTATCTGCAGTTAGTTACACGAATTCAAACATAGAGTTTTAATAAGTTGTACTTACACATAATTTACTTGTAATCTTAAATTTTAAGTAATATGCATCAATAAACAGTACTTCATGCATAAAAAATAGTTTTTAAGAGTTTTTGTTAAATGTTTTATAATATAGTATAGATATACAATAATTTATTTTAAAACATTTTTAAAGAGTTCTCATTATTTAAGCGTTTGATGTAATATTTAATTGTTTAATATCAGTATTCAAAAAGGCATGCCCCTGATATACAATTATACATCATGGCACGGTATGATGCAAGACGTGTCTCTGCCGTTACAAAATTGTCCATAGCATTTCTGTAAGGTGTGGCTCACGCTAGGGGTGCTCAAAAACCCGACCAACCCGATCAACTCAACGCGAAATAACTCAATCCGAAGCAACACGATGTCTAATCAAGTTGTAAAATTGTCAAACCGTAGGTATTGGGTTATTATTATTTGAACTCAACCCAACCCGATAAACCCGATATCCTTTTATTTCTTGTATTTAATATGATTGTTGAATTTTATTAATATATACATTAACAATTACACTATTCACATATTTTTAATTTAAGCACATCTCTATATAACTCATTCGTATATATGTTCAGTAACTGTGAACATAAATATGTAAATTGAGAAAATTAATTTGGATTGAATTGGGTTGCACTTTGGTTTGGGTTGGGTTGTGTTAAGATTTTTCAAACCGTAAACATTGGGTTGAGTTGTTCAAATATCTTCGGAGAAAATTAACAGAGTTGATATGTCCTACTCGGAGATATAAAAAAGTTACATAACGAAGGCTCGATACGAAGGTAGAATCCGCGGATTTCTTTCTAGACTCTTCGCCAAAACAGAAAAAGTCCGATTCCTATAACAGTAATAAGTAAGACTCTCGGTTGTTACATTACCATCTGTTGCTCGGTGGTTTAACCTTGTAAATCCTAACTATCCAGTTTGACGTCGTGAACGCTTCTTCCAAGTATTCAAGCTTCACGTCTTTGTTCCCGATTTCAACACCCCTCGCTCTATCATACCTGTTACAGAAACCGCAACTTCATAACACAACTTCTTCTAATAAAGAGTATGTAAATATAAGAAACATTCACACACGTCAAGCAGACCTGAACGGAGTGACAATAACGTTAAGATGCTTACCCTGGAGGTTT